TGTAATCCCGTGCTATGGGAGGCTGAGGTGAGTGGATTGCCTGAGCCTGCGGGTTCGAGATCCGCCTGGGCAACTTGGCGAGACCTCATCTCTACAGTAAATTACAAAAATTAGCCAGGTGTGGTAGCGTCCGCCTGTAGTTCCAGCTACTTGGAAGGCTGAGGTAGAAGGATTGCTGGAGCCCAGCAGGTCGAGGCTGCAGTGGCCAGGAGTGGCCACTGCACTCCCGTCTGGGTGACAGAGTGAGACTCCAACTCAAAAAAATAAATAAAATAAATAAAAAAGTAAAAAACATTTCAAAGAACATGTCCTCAAGGCAAAAGTATTGGAACTCCAACAACCCTAAGTGAACGTCCAGTTTCTAAGCAAAGCTGACTCACTGGTAAGCTTCAGTCTCTTTCTTGTTCGGTGCTTGGTGTCTGCAGGTCAAGGGAATCTCTAAAGGTGGCCAAGTGTCTCAAATGTCTTACAGAAGAACCTCAATACACCCACTCAGTGAGAAGTGCCTGATACTGGCTCCAGCAGAGGCTTTTGTGCCTGTGAGTGGAAGAGCAGGTGTTTTTCATGGAGAACTTTGGGTCTCTCAGTTTTCTTCCTCTGTAAAATGGGGTGATGTATACACCAAGCAAGTTTGCTGAGAGGACTTGAGTCCACTTGTATAATGTGCTTGGCACATAGTAGGTACTCTGTGAATGATAGTGATTATGTTTTAGTTGCTGTGGCCACTTTTCTTCCTTAGTGAAAAGTATTAGGCCCTAGATACAAACTCCAAACGTGAAAGTCATAGGATAATGGTGCCAGGCATGGGTAGAGACCAAGTAATTCCTTCCTTGCCCCAAGAGAAAGAGGAAATCTCTCCCCTGGAGATCTATAAATATGTCAACCAACACAAAAGATCAGTGTAAGATCATGACAAGGTCAGATGGGGGAGGTGGTAGCGTGTGGTGGTTTAGCATTCAGCCTTTATCACTGGTACAAGATGTACAGCTATCTTACATCCCAATGTTTATAATAACAGCTTGCAGAACTCAAGAATAAGATGGCAAACCTTGGCAATAAAGGGCAAACTCGCTGCATCACTCTAGAGCTCTCTGATCGTGTCTGATCCTCTGCCAGCCTGAATTCACAGGGACCCTAACCCAGGTGCACCATGGGCCCAGTAAGAAATGGCTCATATTTCCTTTTGTAAAATATCACATTAAAAGGTTTTCTGGAAAGCTCGACCTTGATGAGCCACTATTTTGAAATGTAAAAGTAAATTTTTGGAACTCCATCCTCCGCCCCACTTTATAATGAGTATAAATCTCTTTTCTTGTTAGAGCAAAAAATTAACATAACTTGAGCTCTACTTCATAAAGAGGATTAGTTATTGATTAAGTCCCTGAAAGTTGGTTAATTTGCTTTTTATTCATTGATTAATGCATTCACTGTTGACAAGTGAAAGCAGAACTACCTTCAATTTCACCCATCTCTTCTCTCTCACAGGAAAGAAGCCTCAGATTTGAAAAAGTGTAACAAACTCCTAATATAGGAGCTCACGGGCCATAGTTTTGCAGGTCCAGAAGAGGATATGCTCACCCTAGTGTTCTCTGAGCACAAACACGCCACCCCCCTACCACCCGGCTTTCCAAAAGGACAAATGCCAAATGCCGACAAATATGTTTCACCTTTGGAAATTCCAGCTGAGTTATGAGTTCTCAGAAAACCTGTCACCACTAGGACTCCACGTACTGGTTCAGTGTCATACTAAACTCTCCCAAAGGGGGTGCAAGGCTGATAAATTGGGGTGTTCTTCACTCACAAGACGTTGATATTTTTACAAGACATTTGTCAGTGTCTTGTGATGATATAACAAACACAACATAGAAGTCTAGGTTTGATGACAGCACAGACAGACGTGCTCAACTGTATAATAACCTCAAGAATGTTGATGAAAGGATTTATTTATTTATTTATTTATTAGAGTTGGAGTCTCATTCTGTCACCCAGACTGGAGTGCAGTGGCCGCTCCCAGCCACCGCAGCCTCGACCTGGTGGGCTCCGGTGATCCTTCCGCCTCAGCCTTTCCAAGTAGCTGGAACTACAGGCGCGCGCTACCACGCCCGGCTTATTTTGATTTATTGTAGAGATGAGGTCTTGCCAAGTTGCTCAGGCGGGTCTCGAAACCGCGGGCTCAGGCAATCCACTCACCTCAGCCTCCCAAAGGCATGGGATTACAGGCTGAGCCACCGAGCCCGGCTGATGAAAGGATTTGAGTCTGAGTGGACATCTGTCTCCTAGCAGGCCACACAAGTCTTGATCCAGTCCCTTTCAGCATATTAATGTCCTTATAGACAGCAGCCTTATATTCCAATGATGTAAGCTGGAGTCTTTATTGTTTAATTAATTTTTTTTTGAGAGAGGGTTTCACCCTGTCGCCCAGGCTGGAGTGCAGTGGTGCAGTAGAACCCTTTCAAGTAGAATGGGTAATCTAACAATGATTATGCAATAAGCATAAAATGTGAAAGATGACCTTGGGGCTGCATAAAATAAAGCTTAATTTATGGAGACAATGACATTGTTGTCTCTACATTATAGTGAATCTAGTGCTCTGAATTTCAACCCCAGGTAAGAGTTTAGGCTTAAACCTATACCAGCTTGGTGGGGAGGTGAGGGAAGTATGGACTATTTTGGGACAAGGAGATGTATGCAAACTCTAATAAGTGTACTAGGTCTATTTATATGGTCTTAATCTATTGGTTTATCATATCAATCCATTTCTTTTTGAGAGAATTATAGATTCACATGTAGTTTTAAAATAATACAGGGACATCTTGTGCACACTTCACCTGTCTCTTCCAATAGTAACACCTTAGGGAACTACAGCACAATGCCACAACCTGGATACAGACAGTGATACAATCCACCAAGTTTATTTGAACTTCTCCAGTTTCACATACGCTCATCTATGTACTTAGTTCTGTGTAATTTAATCAATATGTGGAGATTTGAGTGACCACGACCACAGTCAAGATATACCTGAGATTTGTTCCAAAAGGCACATTTCTTAAATCTTGTTTTGGGGGGGTCAAGGTCTCTCTCTGTCATCCAGGCTGGAGTGCAGAGGCATGATCACAACTCACAACAGCCTCAACCTCATGGGCTCAAACAATCTTCCTGCCTCAGTCTCCCTAGTATCTGGGACTACAGCCACGCATTACTCCGCCTGGCTAATTTTTTGATTTTTTTTTCTTGAGAGACGGGGTCTCACTGTGTTGCCCAGGCTGGTCTCAAACTCCTGGACTCAAGCAATCCTCCAGCCTCGGCCATCCAAAGTGTTGGGATTACAGGCGTGAGCCTGTAAAAGAAAAAGGCCGAGCTCAATGGTTCAGCCTGTAATCCCAGCACTTGGGAGGCTGAGGTGAGTGGATTGCCTAAGCCCATGGTTTCGAGACCAGCCCGGGCAGATTGTCAAGACATTGTCTCTACAAAAATAAAAAAATAAAAAATAAATTATCCGGGTGCAGTAGCGTGCGCCTGTAACTCCAGCTACTTGGAAGGCTGAAGTGGAAGAATCGCGGAGCCCAGCAAGTCAACAATGGGGTGGCCATGAGCATGCCACTGCACTCCAGCCTGGGCCACGGAGTGAGACTCCAACTCAAAAAAAAAAAAAAAAAAAAAAAGAAAGAAAAAAAAAGAAAAAGAAAAAAATCGCCTCATTCTTCTAACTAGAGGGTGCTGAAGACTGTAGTTTGGAAGTTATTTATGGAGCAATAACCATGTGCCCAGCGCCACGACAGGTGCGAGGGGAGTTTGGACTCCTATTTCAATTGGCTGGATGGGATTCAAAACGATAGCCATAGAGTACAAATCTCTCACTTGATCTCTGAAGAAACTGAGTGAAGATTCAGACTCCTTGTCCCAGCCTGACAGTAGCAAAGCCCAAAGACCCCGATTCTCTGGGTCTAGTGCTTCCCTGGCTCAGCCTTGCCGCTTCCTTCCAGCATGTCACCTCTTACAAGGGCTGGATAGAGCCGCTTTGAGTAACGGGTATTCACCAGTGTCCAGCTACATATATATAAACTGCAATGAAAAAACTTTTTTTTTTTTTTGCAAAAAATGTGAAAACCTATCAATGCAGATGTATCTTTAGATCAGAGTTTTAAGGAAACTGAAAAGGAGCAGGAAGAGGCATCTCTTCTGTTTACAAACTTTCATCCAGACCAACACTTTCCCTTTGCAGGGGATGTAAACTTGGGACAGACATTAAGAACTTGTGGCACCACTCTGCGAACGTAAAAACAGTGTTGGAGCGGAAAGGCTTTCTGAGCTATGGCTATAGGCAGAGCCAGCAAGAGGCCTTTCATCCAGCTGCAGGAGAGAATCCGTGGGAGAGTATGAAAGCCTCGCGGGGACCAGGCAAGGGCCCTCTCCTCCTGGGCTTTCCGAGCACCTTTCCCCAGGCAGGTCAGCGCTTTATGGGGCTTCGCGCCTTGCTCCGGCTGCGCAGCCAGGGCCGGGACAGTTGTGGGTGTGCGGTGAAGGTTCTCGGGACCCGCCGTCCCAACGCCCCGGGGCTGGGGACAAAGCTGCGGCAGCGCAGGCACGAGGGGGCCTCCCGCGGCGCCTCCGCCTTCACCTGCGCGGCCGCCCGCAGCCCGCGATCGGTGGGAACAAAGACAGGGGCGCTGGGCGGGCCGCACGCTCCAAGATGGAGCAGGCCAGGGGCTCA